TTAATTTGAATTCAATTTTTGATTTGACTTTGAATTCAATTTTTGATTTGATTTTTCATTATTTTATACCAAATTATTTCTCCCCTTATTATTGAAACTTTTTGTTTGTTTTATTCAAATGTTTTGTTACTTATTTACTCGTAAAAAGTCATTCAAATTCTTATATTTTTATAACAAAAAATGTTTATTTTTATTAATAAAAGTTGATTAATAGTGTGAATAGTGTAGACATGGATCAGATAATGTGATGCTAACCTAATCTGAGGCACAAACAGCGCTATAGTAAGACAACAATGAATACGAGCCGTAAACAGTGTTCGCAGACTAACACTAACAACAAAATAAAAGCATAAATGTTATTATAATTGTTATAATCGCGTGAATGAAGTAATAATGCAATCAATAATTTGAAAAATACAATCAATTCGTTGTCATAATTACAATCACTTTGTTTTGTGAACTAAACGGAAAAGACTTAATCCTATTCTTCGCCTTCTTTTCTTACCATTTAGTGTCTGAGAGGAAGAAAATAAATGTTGTCTTTCTATACGCGGCTCTTATGGATCTGTTTGGTGGTCATGAGTGGCGCGACGGGTCAGAAGAGCTCAGCGTCGCCGGCGGCCGCTGGCGGTGGTGTGACAGAGGACTCGGGGCCAGGGATCGCTCGGGCGGCACCGCGAGCCGGCTCGAAGGTCGACGTTTGCGGTCTCGCACAGAAATCATTGGAAAACATTTCGCGTGTCTTTACTTTCGATGACTACATCTTCGCGGGAAACGGCTCTGTATTTTATCTCATGAAAACTGGTGACCCCAAGACATGGCAGTACTTTTGGTCATGGGACTTGAGCAGTAACACTTCCCTCCTTGGTCAAGGTATGTGAGCGCCATGAATGGCCATTCACTCCATCGATGATTCAAAATAATTAATTTCAATTACATTTCTTATTGTATGGCAAACCCCTTCCCATCCCTACCTTTATCTCCACCCCATTGTGTTGCAAACCATAGTCGCGGACACATTCACCGACATCACGGGCTCGCTGTACTTCGGTCGGCCCAACTCGTGCCCCAGTTCTGCGGGAAATGACTGCAGTTTTATGGACAAAGCGAACTATAAGGGTCTGTTGGTCTTCCAGAACAACCCTGAGAAAGCCACGCCCGCCACTTACGCCTACCAGACCTATATTCTCTACCATCCCATTATCGACAATCCCAATTTTGTTGGGAACACTACTAATCCGTTTTCGGCATTCAAAGATGACAACCAAATGCCGTTTGGATTGCCCGCCGCCGCTCCCATTACGACCACCAGTAAGTTCTTTCCGAGTGGTGCCGAATACAAGTATTTGGGCGCCGCGTACGACCCGACCCAACAGGTGGTCTTCGTGTTGACTTATCACGACATTTTGAGTAATAGTCTGATCAAGACTTTGGTTAGTTGGGTGCCGTGGATCGGCAAACACTTCAGTCAGACACTCATTCACTTTTGGAAACTCGACGGCAAAGGCGACGCTCACTACCAGTCGGCGAACGCCGCCCGCGGCTATACAGCGCTGGTATCCAAAAGTGGCAATTTGTTTGCTCTCGAGTTGGGAAAGTGGTATTTGTTGGATATCTTTGAACAGAAGGATCCGATACCCGAAAAGGGAACGGTAAGCAATTTAGACCACAGTCTCTATCACTTTGTGCACTCATTTTACTTATTATTTGCTTTGATTTCAGTACGAAATGAGTGAGTTTCTCAACTGCAACTCAACCACCAAACCCTCGCCTTTTAACTCAGATAAGCCTATTCTGCCCGTCAAACCCGTCCCCACGCCATCGGCCGGCGCTCACGCTAGCAATGCGAGCGGCAATAGCAGCGAAACAGTGGCCCCTCTCTCCCCAGACGTCACGTCTCCCGCACCGTCTGAATCGTCAACCGCTCCGTCCAAAGAGGAGAAATCGTCGCCAATGCTAATCATTTTGATTATAGTGATAGTGATTGTGATAATCATTGTTATCATTTGTTGCCTCTTCTGCTGTAAGTCTCGCTATAATAAAGCGAACACTGATTTTGTCACTCATTTATTTAAAACACAACTAATTATATCTGAAAACTCGGTTTAAGGTATGAAAGGAAAGGGAAAGGAAGACGAGAAGGACAAAGAGGCCAAACCGGGTTCACCGAAGGCCGGCTCCAAAGTGGGATCAAAAGTCGGCTCAACGACCGGAGGAGCGAAAGCGGCGTCGACTACGGGAGCGGCTGGTGGTGCGGGCGCTGGCGGTGGCAGTAAAGCCGGTGGCGTTAAACCCACTAAATCCTTGGCTATGAAAAGCACGTCATCCGTCGCTTCCGTCCGATCCACTCATTAATTTGAATTCAATTTCTGATTTGATTTTGAATTCAATTTTTGATTTGATTTTTCATTATTTTATACCAAATTATTTCTCCCCTTATTATTGAAACTTTTTGTTTGTTTTATTCAAATGTTTTATTACTTATTTACTCGTAAAAAGTCATTCAAATTCTTATATTTTTATAACAAAAAATGTTTATTTTTATTAATAAAAGTATTCTCTCCTTATTATTGAAACTTTTTGTTTGTTTTATTCAAATGTTTTATTACTTATTTACTCGTAAAAAGTCATTCAAATTCTTATATTTTTATAACAAAAAATGTTTATTTTTATTAATAAAAGTGTTTTAAATAACTATTGAATATTTCATAATATAAAGATACAAGCATTTGGTAATAAATTCAAAGAGTGTTTCAATTATTTGTTTTATACAAATTAATACTAAAATCGCGCGAATTATAGTCATTAAAATAATCAAGATTTAAATGATTATAATTTTATAACTGATATTAATTTTATAGATCTTACAAAACGGATAATTCATTTGTGAAAATTTACTGAAAAATAACAGACACTTTGATTCAATTAACATTTTTTGCTTCAAAAATTAAATATGTTTTCTATTTATTCAACACTTTTTTTGATTGGTTTCATAGCCATCGGTGGTGTCAGCGCTCAGACCACCGATCAGTCATCGGTTCCGTCAGTCGTTTCGACCATCAGTTCCGACTCTTCTTCTGTTAGCAGTTCGGCCTCTCTTTTAGTTAACACTTCGGCCTCTCCTTCATCTTCTTCTGGCGGCAAACCCTTTGATTTCTGCAATTCATTGGACACGACAGTCGTCTCGCAGATCACCAACGCTTTCACTGCGGGAAGTATCATGTATTTCGGCAATAGTACCACGTTTTATACGGCTCTGATGGTGGACCCGGACTGGAAATACTTTGCCCCTCAACCCATCCATAACCTCTTTCCTGATTGTAAGAACTTATATATCATTACTTTTAAATGTTAATTAAATTTGATTTAAATTACAAATGAAGTAATGAATTGAGATAATAAAAGTTAAAACCTATTTCCAATAGCGACCCAATTCTCGGACTTTATAACCGGAGTATATTTCGGTTCAGCCAAAGAGTGCAACCGATTGCAGACCGACTGCAGTGTTATGAACAAAGCTTTTGAAAAATTTATTGTCTTCGGCACTATTGGGTCGAGCGGTGGCGGCGGACAACTTGGCTACAAGACCTACGCTATCGATTTGGCCTTAACCACAGGCTTCGGCTCTAAGCATTTGAAGACCGTTAGCGACCCGAAGGCCATGCCCTGGGGTTTGGCGCCCAACTCTACTCTCGACCAAACCAGCAAATTCTGGCCCCAAAACATTGATTATAGTTTTAAGTGTTTCGCGTACGATATGGT